GTAGGGTGGCTTGAGCTGGGGTGGGCGGACAGCGGCGGATTGAGATGGTAAAAATGGGTCGGCATGGAGTAAATTGGGGGTTAGTGATTTTGATTTTGGGTTGATAATACGGGGTTAACCGATCGCGGGGTTATTTTTCATGTGCAATCAAAATTGATAAAATTCGGGTTCAAGTCCCTAAATTTTCCTACACTTCTAAAATTGACTATAAGTTTCGAAAAGTTATAATTTGACCCCTAAATTGGTGTGTGACACCTCACTTCCCCCTTTATTTAACATGTGATTTTCTTTTTGGATGTTCTTCTAAATCCCCAACAATACATTAAATTTTCCAAATAAAGCTCTGTGTTGTGTTCTTCCTCTTCTTTTTCTTTTTTCTTTTCCTGGCGAGGGGTGCTTCGATCAGTGTCTTTGGGACCCAATTGATCGGTATAAAGACATGAGGGAAGCAACCCATACCATCTGCATGTTCTAAGAGAGATCTTTAATTTACCTTGGTAACCCGCATTTAATTCTCTTACTACAAATACCACCATAACACCTATGCTACACTCTATCTTTCTACCCTACAAAGAATTTTGCCCTTAACATGTCAATCGCATCTTGTTTCCTTGTTTTCCTTCTCTTTCTTTCTCTGCATGCTTGTACTGGTCGTCGCCTTGCTACAGTTCACAGTGCGAATCAGCATAAAAAAGAGCCTCACGTATCCGCCGCTAAGGTTTGTCGTCATTATATTTACATGTAATCATCTTATGCATGTTGACACTCAACTTATGTTGGGTAATTGTCATTTTGCAGAACGATACCCAGAAACCGGAAGACGCTGAGGTCAAGTTTAAGACAGTTGAAAACGAGAAAGAGAATAGTACTTCAGGTGCAATTGGAACAAGTAGGCCTGTTGTTTCAGTTTCTTGGCGGGTTCCTCATAGGAAACATGGCGAAAAGCTTCCTGGTTTTAACCAAGATTACTCACCACCAAAGACACATCCTCCTTCTCACAACTGAGATGATCAACACTTAAGTGTTGTTCGTTTTTCTTTTCCGGGGAAGCAACAATGCAAGATGGATACCAGCATTGTAAACTATGGAGAGTACTCCATGTCTTATATATTAGGGCTTAAATGTCCATCATTCCAACATAGGCATAACATATAACAGATGTTGGTGGATTAGAATGAGTTACAAGCCTCACCCCACCTCAGATTCAATGTACATTGATCGAAGGTCATATATATGTTTAGTATATTTAGGTTTCGTTTTGTATTCTTGAAGTTTACGGCTAGTGCCTAGTGTTGAAACTAAACGCTTTCAAAATATGGGATTGTGATTAATAATATTAACAGTTACTGGTATATATGATTCAAAAAATAAGCATGGGAAGTTGATGGTAGAGGAAAATAAAGGATGAATTAAAAGCAGGAATGGTCTGTAAAAGAGAGAGATGCAGGGACATTGATGGTAGGAGCATATATGTAAGGTCTAGAGATGCGGTGGTCGAGTTTTCTTCATAAATGAGGTCGGCTGCTTATCAATAGTATCAGTTTCTACGGTTGAAGTTTGAATCATGTTGCACAATGCACATGGCCCCATCTCAAATGAGCTCGAGGAAGAATTATTACTTTACTAGTCATAGGATATTGGGATGCTGTTAGTCAGAGTGATAAAGAGTTCAATGTCTTTTTAAGGTCATAAATTCTCGTCTTGTAGACAAATGAAACAGTATTAAGGGAGCTTTCACTCAAACTTTAACTAAGATTCAATATAATCACTGGATAGAAAAAAATGTAAGAAATAAATAATTAATGTAAGTAGTAAATGTTGAATATACCAGTGGACCCCCTGGTCACCATTATAAATGTTAAATGTTGTTGAGATCAGACCAACCCGTCGATCATGTCGGTTGGACTAAGAATACGTCGAGGCAACAGTCCAGATATTATGGTTGGATTTGAGATATAACTGAACCGGCAGAAACCATTCAACCTGGAACCGAAGAAATAGGGCCAAAGTAGGTTTTTTTGGGCCATCTTTTAGTCCAAGTATATTATTGTATGACAAAATGTTGTGAAAAGAATCCAAAAAGGTTAAATGGATTATGTCAATTTCTACATTATTCAAAAATGTAGTTTATAGTTGATTCCACATAATTTTATTTTGTTCATGTTCATCCCTGCATACCGCTTATTTTCTCCTTATAATCTGGTGTTTATTCAAAATCCCAATAAAGTAGTACTTGATGTTATTTATCAGGTTAAGATAGAAGCTGAATCCCAGCAGACAAGGCCTATGTTAGATTTACAAATATTACTCAAAGTGCATCAAGTAGGTTAGGGTTGAGTTTTTATCTTAGGGACAAAGGATTTACATGGATGCTTGGGCATCCTGTCTCCTAAAAGTAGACGCGGACATTCTATCCAATTATGGAACTAGCCCCATTAAAATATTCATACTACCATTTCAATGTAATCATAATTCATGGAATCATTAATATTTTTACACCCTCACAATATGATTTTCAAATCATTTCAGTGAATAGTTATATTTTATTTTAAATAAAATCACCATTTAATTCATTAATAATACATAAAATTTGATTCTTTATTTATATCATTGAAATCGAAAACAAATTTGCATTAGTGATTCGGTACAGTTTGGGGTTTGCCTCTCTGTTTCCCGCCAAAACTCTCAAATCCCTAACCTCACTTATCACACATCGAATCCAATCCTTCCCATTCGTACTGGGGAGAATAGAGATGGATCCTAAACAAGTTGGTTCATCTCTCGATTCTCTGATATCTTCGTTTAACACCCGTATCGCTGAGCTACAAGAACTCGTGATTGCAAGGAACAGGGAGTTAACTCGCAATTCAGTTCCCTTCTCCATCTCCCCCCTTTTTTGTTTGGGGATCCATGCTAAATTTTGCTTCAGATTTTTTTCTCCGTAAAAACCGAAGCCGGCTTGTCAGCTTAATGATATGCCTTTGTTTACAGTGTACCCGGCGAGTAGTGTGGCGGATTTGTCGGCAATTGTTGCGGCATTGAAGGGCATGGAGCTGCAGGTAAAGGTGATCAAGGACCGTTTGTATGATGAAGCCGAGGCCATTCCCAAGGCCAAAGTTCGTTACTTCTAAATCTTCATTTTTTTTCTATCATCTAGGGACTTGGATTTTAGAATTACAGTTCAAAATAGGTTTTTTACAAGTTAATTAGAATATTATTGGAAAATTTTTGGCTGAGCTGAGATTGTTGATTTCAGAAATTGATTGCCAAATCGCTGCAGCAGAAAAAGAAGTTGCAGAGTTGTCTGCTTATGTACCCTCATATTTGCCTGAAAGGACAACAAAAACATTGAACTTGGACTCTGATATAGGGTAATTAAATTTATAAATTTGTTTCCCATTATGTATCCGGGGATCTTTTCAATATGCTAATATACTTTAATTTCATTTTTTTATGTAGAGATAATGATCATTTGTAGCATCTTTTTGTCTCAGTTTGGTTCCAGAAGCCTTTAAAAAGCAGCCTAACCAGGGAACTATGGTTGAGGAGCCTGTCGCTTTGCCAAAGGTTTGTAATAGCAGTTAGACGAATGGATCTGAGGACGGGCTTATTTAATTATACTTCATGCAATGGCAGGAGAAGAAGAGCCGTGGCTCTCCGCCGTTGTGGTACATAACTGCAAGTGAACTGGATTCATTGTCCTCGTAAGTATGTCTTTTTAAACCAATGCTAGAATAAGCTCTTTGCTGCACTCTTTTCTTGTACAGTGACTTAAGAATGGCTCATTCTTGTCTGTCGCTAACTCGTGCATTGTGAAGATACATGAGAGGAAGGCTCACTCTTGAGAAGGTCAATGCAGCCATTAGTGACATGGCAACATATGCTGAGGCAAATTATCAGCTTGTTGATGCTTCTAAAAAGAAGGTACTCATTTGAAGCTTTGTGGTGTTTATTTGTGTGTCCAACTGTCTAGGATATTGTTTTCATTGCTAATAATTTTCCCTTTCTTCATGAAGTTGGCAGAAAACCTGTGGGAGAGAGCATTGGTAAGTGAACTCTAACCAGCTTACGACACAATGTTTCTATATTGTTAACTTTTTTCAGAACTAACAATGTTTTTTTGTAAGTTAGAGAACCATGACATCTCATCAGAATATGTATCAGCTGCGTGGATAAGAAATATTGTCCTTTATTTCTGTTTCAAACAATTGGCTTGTAACACATTGGTGTAGAACATGCTGATTAACTGTTGTGAATTTGAAGTAATATTCTAAGTTACCTTATGCAGGAACTGAGAGATATTGCAACAACGGATTCTGTAAAGGGGAAGCACTTTTTCCTTGAAACTGACATGAAAGGACCATCATTGAAGCTTGACAATACTGGAAAAGCCATTCTGACAGTGAGTTCCTTCTTGCCCTTCCTTTCGTTTGCTAAGTGATAAAGGTCTGCTCATAGGATGCAAATGAACTAGGATTCATTGTTTGACTGATTGATAGGGCTGGTTTTATGGTATGTGATTCCAGAATGCTTGTTCTTTAAAACTGTTAAGATATATGGCTGAAATTTATTAATAGAGTTAGGTTATTCTTATGTGAAAAGAATTATAAGTCTGTCAATGATTGTGCAGACATGGTTTGTAGTTGATTGATAAAAACTTCTAAATACTCTACGATGGGGAAAGAGGCCTATTTTTATGATTGTTTTATATGATTTTATTTGTGTAATGATCGTGGCATGGAACTTTCATTTGTGTCGTGTTATGAAAAGTGATGTTTTATATAGAAAAACATTGAAATCCCTTGCTTTTTGACTTGGGGTTTGAGGTATGTAAGGCATTTCATGGCTATGTGCTGTTGGGAATTTAGTATGGTGGACAAATATCATAGTGCATCACGCTGTTTGACAGGTCCTACGTCACCTTGGCCGCATCAGTGAGATTCGGATTGCACATCATCGTGTGATCATTCTTTTGAAACCTCAATGAATTGCCTCGATTCATGAATGCCAAATTACATCGTGTATTGCTAATTTGTGTTGGACCTGCATTGATGTTGAAGTTTGAAGACGATATAGTGAGCAGTAGCCATGTAAACTCCACTGCAAGTATCGGTAAAGCTTACTATGACCATCTCTAGGAATGTGGTTCGAATTTGAACTTGTTTATAATTTGGAATTGTGATATATAAAACGTACCTGTGGGTTAATTTCTTTTATCCTCCAACAAGAATTTGCCAAGCTGTTCTCTCATGTGCTTGAGGCAATACCCTTGATTTGGATCTAGGATTTTCATTAGTTCTTTATATATATATGAGGATGAAATTTCTCTAGTACTTATTTTACACAGAAGTAGGGATTACCTATGGACTATTGAAATTTAAAGTCGATAAAACAAATATTATAAAATTAAGAGAAAACATTCAAAGCCCCAAATTGCTGCTGATCTCATTAGGGATTGTATTAGCCGACTTTAGATATTAATTTTGTAAGGAATAGTCAAAGTCAGATTTCTTTTACGTTCGTCGCTGTAACTATTCCACATGACAAAAGACAACCATGATTACACAACTTATTTTTCTCACCCGTGATTGTTTCTTAGCGATTAGGAAAATCACTAGTTGACGGCTACTGCATAAAAGATAGGCTTTGCTTTTCTTGCGAATCTATGGCCTGATGCAAAGCTAGTGCCCTTCTATATATATGTATATCTAGTTGTTCATTTCCTTGCCTGCAGGATTTCTAGGGCTGTTTATTCATTTAAATCTTAATATAATCTTTATTATTCGAATAGAAATTATACATTTTTTCATATCCTTTGTCCCTTTTTGTTCAGTTTATAAAAAATGTATACATTGGACCAATGATTTGAAAGAAAACCAAAGCCTTGTGTTATTTTTCTTTTATTTCATTTTAGTCTTCAAGTATTTATTTATTTTGGTTCTAGCCTATATTTATCACCAAAGTCGTCGTCAATTGTTTATGACTCCAATTGTTTTCTTGTGTTTCTTTATAATTTTATCATTTTTTTTTCAAAATTGTCCATGTTTGTTTTGTTTTGTTTTTCTATAGTAGAGAGGGCTAAAGTATATATATAAATGTTCTGACATGGGAGTCATCGTTCCATCAAATGTTACATCTATATAAATCCTATTGACAGTGGAAACCACTGCTTTTCTCCTCTCTCTCAACATTATACCCTTGCCCACCAACGCCAAAGAGCCCTAGGCCACCATCGAGTGCAGTTTATTGCCCAAGGGATGCCCTAAAGCTAGGGGTATGTGCTAACTTATTGAACGACTTGGTTCACGTTTTTGTGGGTACCCCACCAAAGAGCCCTTGCTGCCCTCTCCTGGGGAGCCTTGCTGATCTAGAAGCTGCTGTTTGCCTTTGCACTGACATTACAGCCAATGTGTTGGGAATAAACCTCAACGTTCCACTCTCCTTGAGCTTGGTCTTGAACTACTGTGGTAAGGGTGTCCCTAAGGGCTTCCAATGCGCCTAAGTGTGCCTCTTGTATCTCAACAAATTTATTCTGCATTTCTTATTTCCTTGTTTAAATGCTTTCCTTAACTTTGTTTCTTTTCTTATTTATGAGTTTACTTTCTGCTCATCAACTCCATTGTATTGCCTTTTTCTACTCCAGAAGAAATTAACTCCTTTTCTTTTTACCATGAATTTGGTCCTTTCATATATATTATGAAATCAAAAAATAAGTTAAAGTGAAAAAATGAAAAAAAAAATCATAATAAATGTGAAGATTAAATTGAAAACGGATTACAATAGAAATAATGAAAATCACTCTAATGATTAAATACAACTGTACTGACTTGCATAAATTTTCTCTTTCTCTCGCAATTTTTTGAAACTAGAAGTACATAATTATGAATGTACAAATATAAAAAAAATTATTAAAAGTAAATTTATAATATATCGTGGGATTTATCTTTACATTTCAATAAATGTAGTCCGAAAACCTTTATATCCATCACAAACTTTTCAGATCAAAATAAAATTTGAATCATAATTTTAACTATGGATACTGATTTTGTTAAACGACTTATGGATGGTCAACTAACCTAATGCAGTGACAAGGAAATTACCATCGATTGACGCTTAATTCACATTCAAATCCTAAATATTTTTTTTCTTTTTCATAAGTAAAGATGTATTTGTTAATAATAAATGTTCTACATAATAATAAGATAATTTATACATAAATTAAATGACCATCAATGATGATATACGCAGACACGAGTTATTTAAAGCTTTATAAAAGACTCTGGAACCCTTGGTTTCTTGTTTTGAGGTACGGTTATTTGCTTTCATTAGTCTCTATTATGGCTAGTTTTCATGGGTACTATCTTATAAGTTTGTGAAAAGGATCTTGCTAGCTTTTTTATTTTTAACATCTTTGATGTGTATGAGACGTGGTGATTTTAGGAGACTATTGACTTCGATCGATTGCTGCTTCTGTAATTGGTTCTTGTCGCTCAGCAGTTAGATCAGTAATGGTGTTGATTCTAAATGAATCGGACATTGCTGTGGTAGTAGGGTGGGTTGTGGCTGTTTGTGTTTGGCTGAGTGCATTCTCATCACTAGTTTTAGCTGATTGGTGAGGTGCTTGAGTTGATTGTGAGCAGTTCAACCTACTCAAAAGCAGTCACTGTCTTGAATCTGTTTGTTATCTTTCTCTTGAAGTCGATTGGTATGTAGGATTTGTTCTTGTCATTAAATAATATAGTTTGTTCGTGTTCGTTTATTTAAATCATAAACAGATATAAACGAAATAACGTAAACAAATATAAAATTAATTGAGTTTCTATTTGAGAATTGTTTTTTTCTTTTCAAATAATTTTAGGTTTTATATTTTCTTTAGTTGATTTGGATTTTTTATTTGAATTTTAAAATATTAATTGGTTTAATTTTCAGTTTTATTAGGTTTTAATATTTTAACCGTGTTTGAAGAGTAAACTGAACATAAATGAACAAATTACAAAACATTCACAAACATAAATAAACGATCAAAGATTTTATTATTTAATTAAAAAATTCTCAAATAGAAACTCAATTATTTATATTTATTATTTAATTAAATGAATATAAAATTTTATTTATATTTATTTGTTTAATAAATTAAAAAATATAAATAAACCTGTCATCGAACAAGTAGGTAAACGTTCGGTTGGTAAATAGAGTTAGTTTTGGTCGGTGAGCACGTGATTCTTGGATTTACCAACTAATGACCCGCTCTCTGGGATTCCCTGCTCCAATCGCTTGGAATTATATTAAGCAAAAACCTGCTATTGATTGCATTTTCTGTCTTCTCCATTCTTCCGCAGATTTGTCGGTTTCACAATATCAAGCGACACAGAAATCCAGAACCAGGACATCTTGTGAACTTCAATTATGTACCCTATGTCTACCATCTTTACATCTTCATTGCACCACTAATCAATTTATATTATATTAATGATTAAAAAAATTATAGTTATTTTAAAAGGTTATAGATTCAAATATTAATGATTATAAGAATAATTAAATATTCATTATTAGATAATTAAGAGTATTTATAACAAATATTATTTTTTAATAATAATAAAAAATTACATCATCACCATAGCAATTTGGCCTTCAAAATTTAGAATGTTTAATTTTTAAAATTGTTTCATTAATTTAATCTATAATTTAAGTACTAAATATTAATTCGTGTCTAATATAAAATATATTTAGAATGTATAGATTATAATTCAAATAAGTTTATACTTATTGTATGGACAATATAACTATGATGCATTTGAAAATTAAAAAAAAACAATTATTTTAACAGATTGAATTTAAGTTATACATGTAGTTGATATCTACTGAGCAAATATATGTTAGAATGATAAAGTAATTTGATTGATACGAATATTTTTGAAGTCTCATTTAAAATGTTTCGAAGCTGAATGACTAATTTAAATTTTGAGTTATAGTTTAGGATAATCTAGTGAAATTAACCCCAAACATTGTATTTTATAAATAATATAAAACTCGTTTCCCTATTACAAGCACGAGTAAAATTTTCTAGCTAAGTTATTTAGTTGCACACATGTCGTAACATGGACCATTAACATACCTGTTAAGCATCATATGGATTAAAATATACTATTATCAATGTTTATTAGGTTAAATGATAAAAAAAAATTATAAATCTTTAAGTAGTGTTTTAAGTTTGAATTTTGTGAATAGAAAAAATCAATATGAAAAAAGCTCATCTTTGGAACTAAAACTCAACCTGATTGGACTTGGAAATTAAATAATAAAAGCTCTTAGAGTTATAAGATGAAGAGTTTTTTTTTTTAAAGAATGATGTTAACTAGCTAACATGCAATACTAAACAGACCCAAACAAAATCAAGAATAATGCGATATATAAGCAAAGAGGAGGAATAATAAACAACAGTGTACGAGTAAAATAGAGAGAATAAAGAGGATATTCTATGGGCATACAAAGCCTTGAGGAACCTTTTCCCGCAAGCATTTAGCAGCAAACTGATGGCAACAGGCATTTTAGCCTTGACGACTCCAAGCACATTGGCCTTAATCGCAGCACACAAGCACAATGCAGCCTCTAGATCAGCTAGACCCGAAATCAGTGTACAACACTCCTTACTAGGTGGAGTCCCAACAACCTCATGAACCAATCCCAACCAGCTTCCGCAAACCCCGAACTTGAGCGTATCTTTAGGACATTTGGCCGCGGCAGACGGAGGCGACAGTGTCGGCTTCGGTGAAGGTGTGCATGGGACAACCTTACGAGACGAATCACAAGTAAAAAATAAAACGTTAATCAAAATGAAAATTGCTGATGCATTACTACAGCTGAATGCCATTGATTTCACTACTGCAATGGAAAGTGAGGTAGTTGTTAGGTATGGCTTATAAATATACTAGTAAAGACAACAGGGTTGATTTTGTAATTATGTACCAGAGTTTTCTATTATAAATAGAGATGTAACCTATGTTGTGAAATTCGGGTTAATTTCCACCAATAACAGATTCACCTTGAAAACTATTATCTAGGTGACTAGTGTGAAAACGATTGTACTAAAAATCACCCCAAGGTAAATTCCCAAGAAAGAGGAGGGGTCACAATGGTCCCTCTTAAAACCCACTTTCCTTAGACAGAACTACCAAGACAAGTAATTTTAATAGGACAATAATTGACAACAACTATACCCGACAATAGCTATTAAATAGACATAAAAGAGAACACCAAAATATTTCACTAAATAGAGGAAATATTACAAAGAGAGAAAGAATACAAATAGCCTTTAAAATAGAAGAAGGCTTATATTTGTGGGATGATTAACTAAAGAGGATGAGGGCTTTATTTATAACAAAAGAATTTCCCTCCTCCTTATACACAACCAATGTGGGACTTTTGCCAAAAACCAACAAATCTCCACCTTGGCAAATTCCACACACATCTCTAAAAAACAATCTTTTAATTTGTAACAATATTGACCAAATCTAAACAATGTTTAAACTTGACCGCAGTTACCACTTTTGTCAACATATCAGCAGGATTCTCAGTGGTCCGAATCTTCTGGATTATGACTCCACCTTCTTCTAGAATCTCTCGTACAAAGTGATATCGAACATCGATGTGCTTCGTCCTTGCATGGTAAACCTGGTTCTTTGCTAAATGAATAGCACTCTGACTGTCACAGTGCACTTTGATGTGCTTTTGTTCCATTCCCAATTCACCAAGCAACCCTTGAAGCCAAATTGCCTCCTTCACAGCCTCTGTAACTGCCATATACTCTGCCTCTATAGTAGACAAAGCCACTGTTGACTGTAAGGTGGACTTCCAACTGACTGGTGCCTTTGCAAATGTAAACACATAACCAGTAGTTGATCGACGCTTGTCCAAATCACCTGCATAGTCTGAATCACAATACCCAACTACACACTGACCATCTTGTTTGTCCTGCTGAAAGACCAAACCAACATCTACGGTGTTCAGAATATACCGCAGAATCCATTTCACAGCTTGCCAATGCTCCTTTCCAGGATCATGCATATACCTGCTCACAACCCCAATTGCCTGTGAAATATCGGGTCTCGTACACACCATTGCATACATCAAGCTACCAACAGCACTTGCATACGGAACCTTTGACATGTATTCCCGTTCTGCATCATCCTTAGGTGACATGGATGCACCGAGCTTGAAATGAGGAGCAAGAGGTGTACTAACTGGTTTTGACATCTCATTTATGCCAAAACGTTTTAGTACCTTCCTCAGATATTCTTTCTGAGACAAACAAAGCCTCCCCAATTTCTTATCCCTTGATATCTCCATGCCTAGAATCTTCTTCGCTTCACCAAGATCCTTCATCTCAAACTCCCTGTTCAATTGAGTCTTTAGTTTCGCAATTTCTGTCTGACTCCTGGAAGCTATCAACATATCATCAACATAAAGAAGAAGATATATATAGGATCCGTCTTCTAGCTCGCG